ATAGCGATCTGTGAGTTAGCGATGGTTCTCTCTTTCATCACGTTGAATATCGGGCTTAACAGTAACCTCTTCAAAAAGATCCCTTGTGTTTGCCTTCTAAAGGCGTACAGGAATACGGGTGTACAACAACACATTTGTAATAAAACAAGGCACTTTTTTCTCACGCGAATCCAGAGCTCCCTTAGATCCTTTTTTCCAGGTGAATTTGCCGGCAAAATGAAATACTGCACAGCCGCCAAATGAAAATACAATGAATCGACTGTGCTGTGTGGTACCATTCATATCCCACACACCCACATGCAGCTGATTGCAGCTGGTGTGCACACCACACGCAGTTCCCATCTAAACCACGCGTAGTCCCCTATACACGCACGGCACGCTGTACCGCACACAGATGCTGCACATCACCACCCCCCCACCCTCTTGTCCCCCCGCCCCCTCCCCCTCTCCCCCCGCCGCGCCGCACTAATCGTAGCCGTCATGGGACAGTGCACCTGCGATTTGAAAGAATTTGAAAGAAAGCCCATGGAATTTCTGACGTACAGCCACTGCTCGATGAATGCGCGTAAGAAATAAGTGAGATTTACCGACACTACAAACGCGACGCGGCCCGATGACGTGCGGCTACGATCAGTTACGAAAGGCGGCAAATTTGAATTTGCGTCACTTGCTGATGGCAGTGAATTAGGCGGAGGAAGGGGTACGTAATTGGTCCTGCCCACGTCGTTGGTGTCCTGGCCTAGGCAGGAGCGGGAAAGGGGAAGAGGGGGGAGGAACAGCGAAATGCAGTGGTAGTTGGAAATGAGGAGTGTACTAGTTCACTTCACCTGAAGAACTGCGAAAGCTTGGAAGTTGAAGTTGTCCTGGTCAACGTGCGGGATAGCGATATGCCGTTAATTCATCAATTCGCACAAATGATCAAATCCCGTCTCAGCTGAATGGTGGCATAATGTAGGATCCCCTTCTTTCTTCCCTATTCCCCCTCTATGAGAGACGGTATTTCAAAATTTGATGCAAAAACACATGATCGTACCAGCTCGTCTGGTGCTTTCCAGTTTGGGTTTTATGCGTCTTGTGCCGTGTAACAGCAGTACAAGATGCATATTGTCACGAGGTTGTC